GCCTGGGGGTGGACGGGGGGGGGTTTTGTGGGTCCGATCAAGGGGGGGGGTCTGCTAGGCAAATGCAGTGCTTGGCTAGGACAAAGGGCGCCAACTGGAACGGTTGGCATTGGATCACAGGGGGTCCAGGCCTTGGGGTCTAGAGGAAATGGAAATGTGGACGGCAAGGGGAAAGTGGTTCAGCCCCGCCGTGCCCCGCCGCACCTCTCCTCCGCCGCGGCAGCCTCGGCGCGGCGTGCCTGCAGCGCGGCCGCCGCGTCCTTGGCGGTGGCGGGCACGTCGGGCAGCCTGAGCTGCTTGGCACACCGCTCAACTGCAAGAAGGGGGACGGCACAAAAGGAACAGGAAGCTTGAATTTGTTGGGCTTTTAACAGCAGCAGGAGGGCCTCCACAGCCTTGACCGAAGCACGCCTGCGAGGCATTGCTGTGTGGTGGCTCTGGGCATTGGGCGATGACCAACGCGGCCCCGCCCACCCACCCGTCCGCGCCGCCGACCGCGCCTCCTTGCGGCTGCCCTCCACGCGCTGCGCGGCCTCCTGGCGGCGCTCCCTCAGCGCCGCCAGCCGCTGCTGCAGGGCGTCGCGCTCCGACTGGAGGGCCTGCGGCGGTCGCGGGAGGTCGACCGGTGAGACCGCAGCAGGAGCTCGCTGGCACGCCCTGGTCGGCATGGTTGCACGTGCAAGCTGGTGATCTCCGGGTGGTTGGCCGGCCTCAGCACAAGGCGCCTGCCGTGCACCTGCGAGGAGAACAGGGCCAAGCGCTGTGCCCGCAGGCTGCCCAAAGCGCAGCGCACCCTCAGTGCCTCTGCGCGCGCCGAGTCGTCAGTGAACAGCACCCCGCAGCGCCAGCACGCCACCCAGCTGCTGCCGTTGACGCCGGTGCCCTTGAGCTTGGCGTACAGCACAAGCTCGCACTCCAGCCCCGTGCTGCTGCCAGGCTCCTGCTCATATGTTTTGGGGTGCAGGATATGCAGTGATTAGGGTCAGACAAGGCCTGCACGAGCATCAAATAAAGGAGTCCTGGATGCTGGGCCGTCAAGGGCTTTGTTCACTTTGAATGCCTTCCCAAACCATTGAAATCAAACCTGTGTCAGCACTCTTCACTTGTCCCCGCCCACAACTAAGTGTCCCCTGCGGCGTCACCAGGGTGTCAAAGGGGCTGTTCTGCTCGCTCACCACGCGCCCCGTCCCCGCGCTGACGAGGACGTCCCCGAAGAACGCGCGGCCGCGCTCGTCGGTCTCTGCCCGGACGGCTCCCGCCTCGCACTCCAGCCCCGGCGCCACGCCTGACAGACGGGAGGGGCGGCATTGCAGTCGTCTGTACCCGCTGCGATCTCGGCCGCCCAATCATTCTTTTGCCGGAGCACAACTTCACGAGGCGACTCCGCGGGGCGCGGGTCTAGCCTGAAAAGCGCTGACTGGGGCTGCGCGCACAAAGGGCAGGCCAAGCGCACCTGCGTCTCCTGCGGCCGCGAGCTGCCACTTGACCCTCACGCCCGCTAGTGGGGTGGCGTTGCCGTGCGTGTCCACCAGCTGGACGGCCACCTGCTTCAGCAGCCGCCTGTTTGTGACCAGGGGCACGACAAAAGGGATGGAGTGAAGTTAGGGGTGCAGGTGAATGTGACGGTGTTTGCAATGAGAGCATGTCAGGATGCCGATCCCGCATGACAGTTGGTGTGCTGCAGCAGGAGGACATCCAAATTCAGCCGCGGTTTCAGAGCACCCAACGCCACCACGCTGCGGCCGACAAGCCTATTTGGCCCACCTGTGCCCCTGCTCCGCGCCGTTGCTGACAGCCGCCGAGGTCGCCTGGGCGGAGGGCCCCTCGACGCAGAGCGCCTCAGGCGCGCCGGGCGCCAGGGCAAATTCGACGGTCGGGCTGCGCACCATTCGGTCCTGAGAGGGCCATGGGCAAGGAGGAGAGTGCACGTCACGTCCAGTATCACAAGCAACGTCACTTGCCTGCAACGCGAGCGCACTGATGGTGCAGATGGCCACTTTCACAAGCACTCGACCTCGCCGAATAGCAAGGCGGGTCCTGCACAGCACGTTTCCAGGCCGCCTGCAAGCCCTGCACCAACCGCCCGCCCACCCACCGCCTTTGACAACGCCTGCAGCAGCTCTGCCCGCGTCTCAGTAAACTCTGCTGTCACGCGGTACCGCCCCGCCACAACCAGCGGGTGCGTCACGAAGCACACGCAGCGCGCTGCGGCCGCCACCGCCGCAGCAGCCGCCTCGTCGACTTCCGCGCCGGGCATGGAAGCCATGGCTGCGGCTACTGCGGCTTTGGTCGCATCCTCGTCGGGCAGCAGAACCACGGATTCCGCAGAAGCCGCAGCAGCGCCGCTTTTGCTGCCGCTGCCGCCCGCGTCTGGCCCACGGATGGGGACGAGGCGCAGCTGCAGGCCGGCGGCAGCGGCGTCCCAGGGCAGGGCTGCGCCGTCCTCGGTGTGCACGTCCACCTGCAGCCGCATGGGGGACAATCATGATCAGGTCATGCTTGCTGAGCATGGCAGTGGGAGAGTGCACCCTGATGACTGTTGATGGTCGGGTCGTGTGTTTTTTATTATTGTTTTGTTTGTTTGTTTGTTTGTTTGTTTTGTAAAGGGGTCTAGCATCGGGTAGGCTGCGCACTGCCCACCTGCAGGGTGTGGCTGCCTCCGACCTCGCAGCCGGCCTCAGGGAGGGCCCTGGCCGCGACTTCTAGGCCAGACACAAAGTTCTGCTGCACCACCTGGAAAGGCAGGGGAGGTGTACATGCGCGTGTTTATGTATCTGTACAAATGTGTGTGCCGCTGTGTGCGCGCATGCGCGCGCGCGCCTGTGTGTGCGTGTGTGTGTGTGTGTGTGTGTGTGCGCGTGTGTGTGTGTGCCCGTCTTCACGCGGGAGGTATCCAAGGTGAAATTACATTAGAGATGTGCATTGGTATGGTAACGCCAGCACACCCAGCCTACTGCGTTGGGCAGCGCGACTGTCCACACCCTCCAACCCCGCGCACCTGCACCGTCACGACGGCGTCCTGCACGGCCACCTTGCGGGTCGCGCTGCCTGTCGGCCGCAAGGTCGCGCGCGTCAGACGGCGGGAGGTTGACCAATGACAGGCAGTGAGGTCAATGTGAGCTTGCTTGGCTGCAGCGCGACCCGGGCTGCGCAGTTCAAGGGTGGCGCAGGCGGGCCCTGTGTGCCCTAGGCCCCCGCAGACGCACCAGCGCGCAGCATATAGGATCCCGGCGCCTCCGCTGCCAGCTTGACCCCCTTGAAGACCGCCGCGCCCGCCTTGACCTTGGCCCTGTTGCTGCCAGACGCCGCCACCTTGGCGGCCGCGGCGCCCTCCTCTGCGGGCAGCGCGCAGCCGTTGAGAGCCACCTGCGCGGGCCGTACATCGCGGGGTGCAGCCAACAGAGGATGATGCGAGACGGCGCGGAGCGCGCCTGCGACAGAGGCATCCGGGTGCCCAGCATAGGGCTGGCACATCCACCAGTTGTAGGCCAGCTGTACTGCAATGAGGGCCAGCCATACTCCAGTGCAAGGCAGGACTGCCAGCACCTGCTGCCATCCTGGTGATCATGTCGCGCAACTGGCCGTTGGGCAGGAGGGGATGCGTGGCGCCTGCTGCAGGCGCACCTCAAAAGCGCCCCCCTCCACCAGGTTTGCCCACGAGTCCAGGACCCTCAGGCGCAGGTCACCCAGCACGCCGCGGGTGCCACACTGGCGGGGACAGGGGCGCGGGCGAGCGCGGGGTGCGGAGGGTGGTCGGCACACTGTTGAGGTGATGAGCGGAGTCATAGCACTGCATTGTGACAAGCTGTGCTGACAGCTTGCATGCGCCTCTGCTTGAATCGAGCGGTAACAACGGCGCAAGTTGTGGGGAACCAGCGCCCAACACTCTCACCTGAAGCTGCGCGGGCCCGTCAAAGGCCAGCCCTGCGGGCGGCCCCGCGGTCAGGTTGACCGTCAGCTCGTCCGGCGCCAGCCGCGCCGCGCCACCCTCCCCGGCCGCGTCCCTGGAGTTTGATTCAAGGGCGGGACGCTCTTGCCAACTGCACAGACATATCAGCATGTCTTCAAGCATAGCAGTGCTTATATTAATTGTAGCCGCTCAACTCTCCCAGCCGGGCCTTTGCATGGACTCCCTGCGGCAAGCGTGTTCATAAGGTGTGTGAAGCGGCCCCGTTGCGCATCCGGCATTGACCAGTCCAGCCCAGTTTGCCTACCACTCCCCGCTCACTTGACCAGGAGCCTCACTTTGCCCACCGGCCCTGCCATGAACAGCTTTATCTGGCAGGCGTCTGTGCCGGCCTGAGTCTGGCTCCACTTGTGCTTGTGCTCCAGCTGGAAGGACATGCATTGTGTGTGTGTGTGTTTGTGTGTGTGTTTATGTGTGTGTGTGTTTATGTGTGTGTGTGTGTGTGTGTTTGACCGGTTAACTCAAATACAGGAATGGCAGTTTGACATAAGAAGCATCCCAAGGCCGGCTCCACACAAGATGGTAATGCGCCCGCCAACCCTTGCAGGGCAGTTGCAGGGCGTGCTCACCTGCAGCGGCGCTGACGGATTTTCGTGAACTGCAGTGACTTGTGGCTCCGGACGCTCCTCACGGGGCAGGTCGCACCTTTGGTGTTGGGGGGTGAGGTGCGGCCGACCAAACAAAGGTGCGACGTCGCTCACACTTCGCCAACACGCAGCAAACGGGGTGGAACAGAACTGCAACTGCCAGTCAGTCACCAGGCTGGCACCACACAGCCCTGCAGTGCCTTGCGTCATGACGTCGCCCCAGGCACGCAGTGTTCTGAGGCCCCGGGTCTACAAAAAACTCAGCTCACTTGTTGGTGAACCTGTCCAGAGCCTGTACCTCCAAATAGAAGGGCCGCCCGCACGCCACCACCGACAGGTCCCGCTCCTCGCCAGCCCCGCCGGCTGCATCGTGGGGTGCGAACAAGTCGGTTTTGACGCCCGAAGCCGCTGGGGCTGGGCCCCAAGTCTGCAGGGTCACAAGGCGGTGCCGCTGGCGCCGCAGCTGCCAGCCCCGCTTCACGCGTGAAGATGAGGCAGGTAGGAAATCCCCACTCTCCCGCCAGCATGCGCCTTGACCTTGTTGCAAGGGCTGCACAACCCCACACCGAGCACCCGGGCGCACCGTCTGCTGCCGCCTGCGCCCCACGCGCGTACTCGACCAGGGACATGCTCCAGGAGGCGGGCGGCCCCGCGGAGGGCACAACGCGCAGGTTCACCTCCAGGCTCATGCCTACATTTGTGCACGTTGTACGTTGTTGTACTGGCTGACGTGAGTGTGCATGGCTGAACATGCATGTGCATGTGCATGTCATGTGTAAGATTGGAAAAGGGCGGCAGGTGCACAAGGTTGTAATGGCCATCGCGCCAACAAGCAAAGTGCTTCAAGCCCACAGCCTTGTGCTGACGGTTGCCCTGCGCACGGGTGCGATGCGGCCTGCGTTGTGCTCCAGGTCAGCGGGCAGTGTCAACCCCGCGCGCCCATCCCACCTGGGAAGTCCTTGGAGTCCCCGTTGAACCTCACAAAGGCGGGGACTGGCTCCCCCGCCACCTCTGGCAGCGGGAAGGGCGGCAGCTTCACGTCCTCGCCCCCCAGGGCGCGCTTGCTGGTGCCCTTGGCCCACGACACCTGGTGGGGCGCCCAGGGTGAAGGAGCCAACACAGGATTTAGGACTTTATACGACGCATAATGTTGCATGCATGTAGCCATGTATATCCCATGCGTGTGGACAGGGCTGGCGGTTTCAACACCAACCATCAACCTCATTGGACTGATCAACTGCTTCGGATGTGCTAACACATCCAACAATGCAACAAATGTGTCATGTCCCCGGGCCCGACCTTTGCCATCGCTTCTTGCTGCTGCGGCCCCAACTGAAGGACCCTGCATGCGTTCCAGCGCTTCAAGCCGTGTCGCAGCCCACCACCCACCTGCAGCCGCCCCTTGATGGGCCGCGACGGCCGCCCGACCTCGTCCAGGCACCTCAGGGCCAGCCCCTGCGCACGGCCGCCGGCCTCCAGCCCAGGGCGCCCGTGGAGCACCCACACGATGGAGGGCTCCCCGTCCTCCTCCGACGGCTCCTCAACCATCTGAAGCACCTCGCCCTGCGCGCGCGCGCGCGTGTGTGTGTGTGTGTGTGTGTGTGTGCAATTTTTTGGGGGGGAGGCAGGATGGTTTCTGGTGCGTAGTAGTGAGCCGCGCAGCAGTGTGCTGCGCACATGCTGATAGGTTGTGCGGTTTTGCGACGCACAGTGTCGTCAGGGCGTTGTGGTTCACTTCAGCTGGGAGGTGGGCAGGATGCAGGGCCATAGAGGGCTTGCAAAGCCGGTGGGTTGCTGATGAGCACTCGTGCCGAGGAGAGTTGCGACTTGCAGGGGCCATCAATCCCGTTGGCCCTGCGCCTCCATTCTGTCCCACTACACATTAAATAGACAGTACCCCTTGCCCAGAGGCAGGTACTTTCACCACGGTCCCCCACCTGGTAGACAAACATGAGCTTGGCCGGCATTGTTGACGGCAGCACCCCGACCCTCAGCCGCGTCGACCGCGCCGCCGCCCCCACCGCCGCCGCCAGGCCGGGGCCGTACGCGGCCTGCGCCGCGACCGCGACTGCCAACGCCTCCTCTTCTGCAGAGGGCGGCGCCGCGTCCCCGTCGGCCGCGCCGACACCCGCCATCCCCTCGGACGAGGGGGCCGGCAGGGACGCGACCTGGGGCCAGATGAGGACCCGGTGGATCTGGGGCGCGCAGCCGTCGGCGGCGGGCGGCTGGGACGGCTGCTGCGTGGCAGCGGGGGTGGCGTCTGTGCGGTGCGCCGCCAGTTCTGATATGAGGGCGACCCCCCTGCAACGGGGGTGGCGTTGCATTGCATCAGATTATGTTGTGTTGCATCATCTAAGCCCTTGCTGCTGGAGGGGGTGACATAGTGTTTATGTATCACGGCCACGTGGTGCCGAGGAGAAAACGCATTGCACCTGGGGAGCAGCAGAGTCCTTCACCCTCCCCCAGGCAGCGCAGTCAGAGCAGCAGCCAGCTAACAGCCTCCGCGTGGCCCTGATGTTGTTGGCGGCACAGGGTTGGAGCCAATGCGGTTGCTGGTTGCAGCTGGCTGATGGCAACAGCGCACTTGAAGGACGCTTGGCCGCAATTCCCTCTCATCAGCGGCCGACCTATATTCCCCAGACCCAACAAAAGCCTCACCGTGCGTCCACGGCAAACAGGCCCTGGTCCGGGTCGAGGCCCGTGGACGCCACCGCCACCTGGAATGGCAGCTCAGGGGGCGGCGCTGTGGGGTTGCCCCACGCGTCCAAAACGAGCACCTGCAAGGCGGTTCAATTATATCACGATTACATATACAGTACGTGAGCATGTGCAGTACAGGTTGCAGCATACCAAGGTGCACGCATGTTCCTAGATGGTAGGCTAGGTTGGCTGCGCTGCCAGACAGCTTCAGTGCGCCGCAGGGCGGGGCTCATTTGCAGGGGCGACGGGTGATTGGCGGGGATGGGACTCGCCTGGAACTCCGGGAGCGCGTCGCCGCTGGTGACGACGACGAGGCCGCCGCCGCCTCGGCCGCTGCCCGATTGGCTGGGCTGCTGCTGGGCCGCCTCGGGCGCCGCAGGCCCAGCGGCGCGTCCCTCGAGCGGCGTCGACTGCACAATCTCCTCGTCAGATCCGGCCGCCGCGGCGTCTGCCCCACCGCCCGCAAGGGCGACCCCGCCGTCGCCGCCGGGCCCGGGCACTGCCGTCGCCTCGGCGAAAGGGTGGCCGGGCAGCAGCCGGATAGACTGAGGCGCGCCCGGCCGCACGCGGAGAGGGAAACCCTGCGTGGGATGGATGAGCGAGAGCAAGTATTCAAGAACATTCTAAGCCAGAATCAACATGCTTGCAGCCGCTGCATGAGCCAAGCTCATGGGCTAAGCCACAGAAATAATGATGTCTGGGAAAGCAGCAGCACATCAACACCAGGGTTCAGGCGCACGGTCTCGTTGTAAGCAGCTTGGTGGTTGTCACTGCTGCCGCCAACCACTCCACCTGAGAAACAAGGTCGGGCACATGGACAGCCAGGAAAAGCTCCGCAGGCGCCACAGCCTGCGCAGCCAGCGTGTCCAGCTGCGCGCCCGTCGGGCTGCCGGCACCGGCGGCCTCCTTGCTGCTGCCCGCCTTGGCTGGCCGGAAGATGGAGAGGCCGCCGGACGTGCCGGGGGCACCAACGATGCGCAGGCCGCTGATGACGAGGCATCCATCCTCTTTGTCCACCTGGGTAGGTTGCAGCAATCACAATACAGCTGGTGATGCAAGTCGCACTCCACACACAACAACCAGGCCAGCAGAAGCCCGGCAAGGGGACGGCATTGAGGGCTAGGCACGGGTAGTTGTGCAGCCTGCACGTGTGCCGCGTCAGTGGGTTCTACTGGAATCTGCCTGCACACCAGCTCCGTGCTCTTGCCTGTATGTCGGCCTCGGCCTTGATGTCCCCCACCACCGCGCCGCCCGCCTGCAGGCCGCCACTGAGGACCTGAAGAATGGCGGTTCAGGGCCAACACACGATGTTCTGAGCGATTTTGTGTGGAGGCGGCTGAATGTGAGCTCCAAGCCTGAGACAGCAGGGCAGCAGGCGAGCCGCACGTTGCGGGGCACAGGGCTGGGTGGGGTACGCCCGGGGCCCCCCAGCCCACCTCCAGCGTGACCGTGGCCGGCGGCGGCAGCCTCTCGGCGGCGTTGCCCACCGAGTCCCGGAACGCGACCCGCAGCGGCGGCAGCGCCTCGCCGAGCAGCAGCGGGCGCGCCTGGGCGGCAGCGCGGCCCTCGCCCTGTGGTGGGGGGTGGGTCGAGGGTGCAGAAGCAGGCTGCATTCATTGCTGGCTTCGCCCCTGCCACGCCCGTTCACAACAATCAGGCCCAGGAAGCTTGCCGATTCCGTGGATCCTGATGTAGCCACTCGCACCTGAATGTCAAAGCTGGCGGCCGCCCCGGGCGCCACCTGCAGCCGCTTGCGCCGGCCCAGGGTGCGCCCACCAGGGACGTCCGGCAGCAGGGAGTACCTGTTTGGAAGCCCAGCGAGGGTTTAGGAGCCCAGCAAGCGGCGTTCGTGCCTGCAATGTTCATGGCTTTCTGACCCCACACTGCGACCGCCACGCACATCATGCTGGTCAAAGCTGGAACACCTGCAATCTAGGGCGGGACGCTGCCCCCTCTTGCCAGCACGCTGCCGGTGCGTCACGACCACGCCCTTCAGCACGTCTCACTCGAGCACGTAGCGCCCTGCGCGCATGAGGCCGCCCTTGAGCTTGTGGAACGAGAAGAGGTCGTGGCTGGGGGTCTTGTTCTCCACGCGCAGAACAACCTCGGCTCCTGGCAGCGGCGCCAGGTCCTGTGGAGAGCGACGCGTTGACGCGGAATTTGAGGTGGCGTTGCAAGCACACACCATGCTCCAGACACAACAGAAGTGCACCCAAAAAGAGGCGCAACGCGTCGATCAAAGAAAAGCACCCCCAAGCTCGCGCCCTGCACGTCCCAACAAACGCCCACCTGGCTCCCGCTGACTCCGCTGCTGCCGCCGCCGCCGCTCGACGCTCCTGTTGGGGCAGCTTCCGCCGACACCTCCGTGCTCTTCCCATTCTTTCCGCGCCGCCGCTTGGCATCGCCGCCCCTGCCGCCCCCATCTGCGGCCCCTGCTGCTGCCTCGCCTTCTTGACCCGCGGCGTCCTCAGCAGCTGCGTCTCCAGCATCGCTACCAGCCGCGTCCGCCTCCTCGGCTGCCGCTGCAGCTCGGCGGCTGCTCCTTCCACCCTTCCCGCGGCCCTTGCTAGACCCACCGCGGTCGCCGCCAGTGCGCTGCTCCGCTTCAGCCTCCGCCCCCTCCGTCGCCGTGCGCTTGCCGCCGCCGCCTCCAGCGCCCGCGCCGTCCTGGTCCTCCTGCTTCCGCTTGCGGCCGCGTCGCCCCTTGCCTTTGGCGGCGGCGGCACCACTCTCCTCTTCCTCCTGCCTGTCCTGCTGCCGCTCCTGCTGGCCCTCGCCCTCGGCGCCAGCAGCAGTCAAGGTCGCAGGGGCCGCTGCGTCGGCTGCCGCCCCCTCGTCGTCCGGGCCCCAGGAGCCTGGCCCTAGGTAGTACAGGGTTTGTACCTGTGATGCAAGTAAGATGACAACTGAGTAAGAAAGATACACATGTCACGGCTGGCAGATGAGTCGCAAACAGCGGGGGCAACATCTGTCCAGGCTTGCTGCGCCCCACGGGGGCCCCTGCCCATCGTTGCTGTCCCGGGCTCACCAGGCGCAGCGACTGCCTGTGACCCGCGATGAGGGCGCGCGACATCCGCTGGCCCGCGCCGCTCAGCACCTCCACGGTGCTCTCCGGCAAATTGGCGCCCGCCGCCAGCTGCAGCACTGCTGAGCCTGACAGCTTCAGCGGCTCCAGGCGCAGTGAGGCCGGCAGCTGCAAGGCGAGGGGGGGGGGCGTAACACAGTGATAGATAGTTGTCAGGGTACTGTGCGCAAAAAGCTTGCTCCACCACACAAGGGGGGAAATGCGCACGACCCAAGTGAAATGGCAACCAAGCACCCACCACACTGGGTAACTCTGCCCACATGCTCACGTATTATGTTCCAACACAACACGCGCACATGGACCCGGGCACCCACCCACTCACACACCCAGCGACACACACACACACACACACCACACACACACACACACACACACGCACACCAACACTAAAGGCGTCCAACAAACCTTGAGCATCTCTCGCGCCGCGTGCTCCGCCACCTCGGCCTGGTTGACCACTTTGTCGATGCGCCGCAGCGGCCACGTGTGCTGGCTGCCCTGCCCAAACACCTCCGTCGGCAGCGGCGCCACGGTCACCTGGCACACGGCAGCACAGCGTTGAATGACAAGCAAGGATAGTTGATATTGCATGTTTGCATCGTTGGCCCCCTGGACAGCCAAAAGCATGCTGCGCAAGCCTGAGATGAATCAGGGCGCTTGGGACGTCTGCGCCAGCAGCCAGAGCCCACCTTCCCATGGCTGTAGCAGCCCTCTGTGTGGACCACGCGCGGCACCAGGAACCACAGGACCTGGGGGGGGGGGGAGTTGGTTGGGTGGTAAACATGTTTCAGCACATGGTCGCAAATCAAGCTCTACCTGCACTGGCACGCTGCACTTGCCTTGAAATCAAGTGCAGTCTGCTTGCTGCCCCGCAATCCCCTCTCGACTCCTGAGACTCACTCTACCCCTCTCCTCCAT